TAACTTCTTTATTATTACCTCACTTCAGGAATACAAATTATAAATAATAACAACTTTAAGATCCCCTAAAAGATTCATGGCTGCCAGTTGGGACAAGGACTGAAATATGGAAAGAATAAAGCAGTGAACCCAAGATTGCTGAATAAAGAATAGAAGCTTGATTATGAGGAACACTATTGTCACTAGAAACTCTAATGGCAATAAACAACACACACCTTAACTTTTAGATTAGTGCCTCTTTTATAACTGACTTCCGTCCGCTCAGGCGGCCAGTCTGCAACCACTCCTGGAGCTTCCCTTTAGGAAAAGTGACCTTGGAGTATCCCTACGATGCAATTCGTGAGTGGTCACGACACGCAGCTGCTATCCAGCAAACCAGCTGAGGTTCAACCCAGCGTAACCGCAATAGGCAGAGAAGCGGGAGAAAAACTTTTCAACTTTTTCAACGTTTCAACTTTCATGCTGTTTTTATTGAACTTTTTTAACGATTCGTTCCCTTTTTCCTGCAAAAAATTACCCCTTCACTCTCTTCCATGGCTGTAAAAGCCATCGATTTTAGCGGTCCGATCCACTGGACATGTTTGCAGACACCTCTTTCCTATACCCACCTCTGCAGTTCAAGAACAGCAGCAATGAAAGCTATTTCGAGAGATTCAGAGAAAACAGAAGTTAGAAAGTTTTAAATTACCTTACTTTGTAAGCAATAATACGGTGTTCCTGCGCTGTTGCGATTAAGCGCACCCGGCCCTAAACATATCCTCTTCACAGCCTACTTTCATTTTTTGTTTGCTGGAATGTTGACCTCGCTTGCTTCTCTAATAATTTCAGAACTTTCTGTGAAGTTCTTGCTAACTTTTTAACGGTCTAATGCTATGATGACACTTCAGTCTTTATAGCGTTTAGCAACAAGGATTACCTACCACTAAGTGGTTTAATAGAAAGTGGCCTCGATTTTCAAACGCATACCTTGAGTTTCATTCCTCTGGAAAGTGCTGCTTATTCTCCTGGAGGTACATTTCCTATCGTAACAATGTTTACACTGTCATGGCTCCTACCCAAAAGTTTTTAAAAACTTAGGGTTTAAAACAGTCCTTGTAACATGAATTACTTCTGCACAAAAAGACTTTCGATTTGAATTAATCGCTGAACTCAGACGATTTAGTGCAATGGGTAGTTATTTCTAACACACTAGGAGATTTGAAATTCAGCAGCTTTTTTAGTTGCGCATGACGGGGCACCTGCTTTTGAATTTGTAGTCAGAAAAGTTGATAGTTTTAGGACCAAAGGACACTAATGTGAGAAATCTAAAAGTACAACGTCGATAAATCAGCGCCAGGGTGGTTACTGGTTTAGGTGAGTCTATGAACGTCGTTATTGGCATGGAAGGTCAGTATTCCATTCCTCAGCAGCAATGCATATAATTCCGTTTTATGAAGGTCACGGCATTCCTTGAGAGATATTTCAGTACCCATTTTCTAGTGCTCCAAGAAGCTTCATTTTAAGTCATCTGTTGCAAAGCGAAATGTGCTCTACGTACTGCAGCTGACTGAAATGGTTCTTGTAGAGACATACCCATCAGACGGGGCGTCAGAATCTAGTTTCTATAACCGAATTACACGTTGCTGTAGAAACTGATGGCAGTTTTTTTTTTTTTTTTTAAAGGGAAGTACAATTGCACCTTTCACACCTGAACACTTTTAGGTTTTCAGTGCTGATGAGCGTGAGTCTGGCATTACTGTTGTCCTCACAGTACGAGGCCATTTCTAATGACCTACAATCACTAATCCAGCAATGGAATACGCCTGTCACGGTCACTGTTAGTGATACGTGGCAAACCTATAACAAAATAAAAAACATAAGAAAAAGTTTTGCATTCACCTCACTGTCAACCACTTTGTTGAATTTTCTTGTACAAATAAATTTTGTAGCAAACTTTTCATTAACACTTTAAAGAATTAGTGGCATCAATAAAGAAGCAGTACAAAGTTATGACTGGAACGAGTGAGAACTTTTTTGACTTATTCGGATGAGAACGAGCTTTGGAAGACCTTCAACAACTTTTATCACCGTTTACAAAAGGATTAATAAATTCCACATGAAGAATTGAGGGCTTTGATGACATAGATACTTTAGGGCGGAGGACAAAAACTGGCCATGAAATGCGAAAACTGTTAGTTAAGAGATCACACATGAGGTGGACTTGAACCTTATAGATTCATAAAATCATGGTCGTAAAGTGCGAGCAAGGACTGAAAGATAAGTGACAGGACGATGCTTACTAAGTTCAATTCACCTGTTTTCCGCCAAAATGGAATCGAGCGACCGAGCAAGTCAAAACAACAGAAACATCTGCTGCAAAGTGACGAAGGAAGAAATATCGTTTAGTACTATCCCTTTTGCATTGCTGGATGCAATTTATTCTCTCTATATTTATTTTGGACGTCGCCACATAATCCGATTCAGGCAAGTTGGAGAGCATAATCATGAGACTAAAGTAGTACTGCTTCAGGTTCGTCTTCAGTGGTCTGCTCAGTAAAGGAGAGGTAAAACTAACGTGACTGAGGTGTGTGAGCGTAGAAATATTTATACAGAAAAAGTTTTAAAAAGCTGTTTTAGAGATCCAGTGGAAGAAAAATGTTTAAACGATGTTGAATTTCGTAATTCTTTTTCTTGGTTATTCTGACGTATGCGTCTTATTAAAATCAAACGTAAATGAAAGACGTGTTCGTGAAGCCTTGTCTTCTTAAAATTTAAAAAACCTGAAAACACGCCGTAGTCAGCGCCTACCAAACTTGTATTTACGTTGGCACTTTCCTCTTCTTGGTTTGAATCACCATCAAAAACGGAGCCTATTGCTATGTTGATGATTTCATCGTAAAAGTTTACCGGTATACCACAGGAGAGCTTGCGAAAGATCAGTTAATCAGATTTTGCCTACCAATTTTGCAGCTTCCGAATGTTATTTTTTTGAATATTTGCAGTTGTTTCTGGTACAGAAGAACTTCCCAAGTCAGGCGCCTTTGACAATGGCACCGTTTAGTTTTTTGAATCCAGAAGTCCTCGTTTCACGCGAATAAAATAAATTTTTTTTTCTCTGCGTTATTGCTAAAGGCTCTTATTTCTAGTAAAGTGTTTATTCATGATATATCGAGATTTTGGGTCATACTGCGCAGAACTCCAAGTCAAACTAATGCGGAGCATTGTCAAGTGTTCGCACACGTGTTGCATTTAACCGCGGGTTCTGCAAGCAAAAAGAAAGCAAAGCAGAGGGGTTTAAAATAAAATAATGAAGTTAAGCAGTGGATTTTGAATCAGAGTACCTCATAAGATGAGTATGTTGGGTAAAAGAAAATCTTAACAAATGAGTACCCCCGTTCAAACCGTCGTACCTTCGGCTGTGGAAGTTCAAATCTTGAACCTTAGTTTATAAAACAGAAATCTAGGAACTTCAGAATACCAGTGAGCAGACCTGCAAAGTTGGAGAGATGAAATGCAGTTACCACAACAGCAGCTAGACAAATGAGAAATGAAACATCGAGATCATTGAACTTCCATGAAGTCTACAGTCCCGACTAAAGCTCACTGTAATAAGCCAGCCAATTTCCACACTGGACAGACAGGTGGCTAGATATTAGATGGCAGGCAATCTTCAATGATTGGGAACGAGTTAAAGAGGAAGTGACAAGCTGCAGCCTGACCTTCAAAAATACTAAGAAGCTAACAGGTCCGTCGGTTCCTTGGACCTATCATCATCACAACTGATATAAGCATATTCAATATCCTCGAGACACCGAACAGGGTGGCGACAATGCGTAATGGCGTTGTTTCGCTGGTCGCAGTGGGCACCTTTGCTGCTGCACACCGTAGAGCAGCGAACGAGACAAGCATCAGGAAAAGAGAGCTTGATGTTTTAGTTTTTTGGTTATTGATTGTGAGAAGTAAATTTACTCCTCCTGTGCTATTCTTTATTGTGCTTACCAATAAAATTCTGACCTCAATACTAAATGAGGATGAAATTTCTAGTCATTTTCCTCATCTTTCCTTTATTTCCGAAACGTTACGAGAATTTTTTGCGGCGTGCAGTTGGTTGACTCATCTCAGTGTTCTCTTTGAAGTGCCAAGTTGGTTTCGGGTAATGACGTTGTCATTCGCACCCCCTCCCCTTTTCAGTACTTGCTGGGCTCCTCTGACTTGTTCAGTAACAGTTTTGCCACAAAAGATCACTTTTGTTTAGTTGCTTTGGGCAACTGAGATCCCTCTAGGGCATCAGGCTGTTATTAAAATAATGCTGTATTAACAAATGATTTTCAATCGTTGTTGTAAAAAGTAGTTTAGTCTGATTAGTTTAGTCTGACTCGGTGCAGAAATACAAGTAGCAGAGGACAACCGCTCACGGCTGGTCAAATGTTTCCGATTTATTAATTCTGAAAATCCGTATTCGTAGTTTAGGGCCCATCTTCCATTCACTATTTCCATTTACGTGTTCCAGAAAACGTCATTTGCGATATGTTTTCTGAGAGCTTAAATGAAAAAAGCAGAGGTACTGGTTTCGAGAAAGTAATGGTTTTTCACATGACTCTGGAAGAAGTCAAGGTACTCTTAGCCGACTGTCTTCGAATCCTCATTTTTCTTCTACTTTTCTGGTATTAACTTTCTGAACGTTTCAGTGTCGTTTTTTTCCGAACCCAAAGATTATTTTTTTAGAATGAGGCTGTCAGTTCATTACGGACAACTTGGCTACAAAACTTCTTTCCTTTTAAAACCTGTTATTACACTTTGCATTTTTTTGACGTAGTTCTCCAAATGTATACAACACTCGGCTCTTGCAGCGTTTTCATAGTTCATTTGCTATTAGTAGTTGTTTTTGTTTATGTAGTTATAGGCCAGTGATACTGGGCGACTAAGTAGTTTTTCCGAGCAGTTACAACTGTCTTTAACAGTTTAAGTGAAAACACAAATCTTTTTGCCATAATTTGCATTATTCAGTCGCGGAATCGGTTATGGCTGCTGTTATTAATCCTCGCCCAAGTTCTTCTATACCGAGCAGTTTAGGTGAAGGGAACCCAGGTCCAGTACTTTATTTATTTTCCAATTAATACTTGTTTTTGAGCTGAAATATTAACTTGTTAGATATTTCATAACAACTTTCAATTTTTCAACTTATTTTACTTGTAAAAATTTGTAATAATCGGATTCTAAATTGCTGTTGTGTAGTTTGTTAGCCTCATATGAAGTTTTATATCTCACAGTTTTTATAACTAACTTTAAATCACAGTTCGTTAATTTTAGTTTTACTACATAAGGTTGATGGGCCCGTTGGCCGTGTTAATGCTGTATTCCTTTTGTCAAAAGAGGAAGGAGTCATAACTATCAGCGACGATCGTTCCGTCAAAATTCTTTTAAAACGTGATAACGGACAATTTTGGCCCTCGATTCATCATTTCATGCCTTTTGCTCCAACTGCTTTGTTTTTTTCTGAAGACACTATGAAGTCAGTTTTTTTAAAAACAAAATAATTTAAATGAATCTTAAAGTTGTCGTTTAGCTTCAAACTAATGCTTTTTCAGAATGATCATTGGTTTGGTTAATGGAGCAGTGTATGAATATTCCGTAGCTGATGATATGAACAGTATCTCAGAAATAAGGCATTATAATTTCCACACAAGCTGCGTCACTGCAGTTCATTATGCGAAGGAAGCGGAGCTTATCCTCAGCTGTAGTAAGGACAAATCGGTTATGTGGCTTTCATCGAAAACTTCTAATAGGCTCGGTACTCCATAAAGCTGTTTTTCAACTGTGTTCTGTTTTTTCACTTGTTTAGAATCTTTTGCGTTAATTTCCTCTTAATTTTTTAAGTACTGACTTGAAGGTTTGCTCAAGGGAATAGGAGCTTAAGTGGCATGATTTATTTCTGAGGAATCTTTTATGTTGTACTGGGCTCCTTACTTTCCAGGAACTTACTCTTGTGATGCTTCGTTAAATGCTATGCAGTTCGATGTTCCATCAAAATTCGTTTTTTTGGGGGACTCTAAAGGTGATTTGATTTTATTGAAATTGAACGGGTCGGAAGCACAGTTGATAAGCAAGTTATCTGCTCACACAGGTCAGTAGGATTTCACCAAAAATCTTATTCCATTTAATTTTCAGAAATATTTAAATTTACATCCTGAAAACGTTTTACGAAAGTTTAGTAGGTTTATACTGCGACCGATGTGATAAGTACAATTTAAAGTCCTATATTTACAAAATGTTTTCTTTTTCTGCATGGGTTAATGTACGTGGGTTTAATTTTATTCTTCTTTTAGCCATTTTTGTGCTTTGAAAAGAGTCAGGTGCAAGGTTTAAATTTTATTTTTAGGGTCCATTGTATCTCTCGCGTGGGATTCTTCGAGACAAAAGCTGTTTTCAGCATCTACCGATCATTTGATCATAATGTGGGACATAGGTGGTAAACAAGGAAAAGCATATGAATTAAAGTCAGATTCACAGTTGTTAGTTACTAGAAAACGAAAAATCATTGTTTAAAGTTGGAAAGTTCATCTTGTTTCATGCCACTGGACTATAATCAGGTTTTTTATTTAGCGCCCATGAAACTAAGCTTAGCTGTCTTTCTTACGCGGTGACTTCAAACCGTCTGTTTTCGGCGGACGAGAATGGAAGGTTTGTCTGTTGGGATATGAATGCATCAAGAATTGAAACACCGGAGTGGAAGAATAAAGACAGTTGCCAATTGTGCGATTCTCCGTTCTTCTGGAATTTCCGTGCTATGTGGGACAGGAAGGTTTCATTAGATTAATTTTTTTCTGAGGTCGCTTTTCCAGTAGGAAATACATCTGGGCAGGAAAGTCCTAACTTAAGACTTAGAAGCTCTTGTCTTTTCTTAGTTCTTTTAAATATTTACATTTCGTAATATTCACTAACTTTAAAAAGGATAGGCTTGCAGGATCCTGAGGTTTTATTTAGATTCCTTCATTCCTTCATTTAGACTAAAGTTTTCTTAAAAGATTTATAATTGGTAGCGTGTACCGTGATTATCCGGGTATCCTTAGGTTGTTGGATGGCGACAGCACCATTGCAGAACATGTGGTAATGCAGTCTGTAGCAATTGCTGTCAGTATACAACAAGGTTCCCTCCAATGGGTTACGAGTTACCCGTTCGTATATGTAACGAATGTCACTGTAAAATGGAAGAACATCCCGAAAATTTCAAGTAAAGATTCAGTTTTACTGGGGTTTTCTTGCATGGTGTGGTTCAAAAGTTTCTTTTATTTTTTTTTTTTTT